GGGGTGGGGGGGGGTGGGATGGGGCCCCTACCTATTACCTAACCTCTAAAGATGAGTGAAAAGAGATGGAACGAAATCCTTAATTGGCAAAAGTGTAGAACAGCAATCCCCCAAAAGGCATCGATATATTGATGATCTGCTGTACCAAAAGTTGGCATTTAAGAAATGTGGCAAAGTCCCTATTGAGAGAGCCTGTTGTGTACTGTTTGTTGTGCTAAACCCTTCAGCCCTACTAATACCTTGCCTGCACGTCTTCTGTGACTCTGTTCTACGAGTAAATACGAGTATTAACATTCCTGATAAATAAAAATTCTCTGCATGTGTCAGCAATCCCTGTATCTTGCGTCTGTCTTCTGTCTTCTCTCTTGTCTGTCTTTCCCCACAAGCACAAAGATTAGGGTACAGGTTGACTGGAGCAGGGCCACGTAGCTTCCCCTACCCTTTAACAGAAGGAAGAGGGGATGGGACCTCTTAAAAATGCTAACCCCTCTAATCTACCTTGCACATGCGGGGGAGGCGGGGGTGGAGCTGGGTGAGCAGCAATAGGCCAGATACTTCCAGCCCCAACTCCCTAGTCAGTTAGAATTCTGGAACTGGCATACGTCTTGTCTCTGTTAAGTAGTTTAGAGACATCTGAGGAATTTTCTCTGAATTTCACAATCAGCGTTAAATTCATTAAGCGACATTACAAATGAGGGTAAACCTGCCAGCCCCAGTGTGATAGCTCCATCAACACAGTAATCGCTTCAATGGAGAGGTTCTATGTTTTAGTATCACACACCCGAATTAGATTTTAAGATTTCTATTTTAGCTGTTTTATACTTGATATACTCCCACACCTATTCACATACGTAGATGAATACTGAACACGTTCTCAGAATATCTGCATTTTAAGACTGGAAGCCTTCCAATTCTCACACTACTGCTTAGACCAAAATATCGAACCGAATGAAAGAATCTTCCTCTGGAAGTGCTTTCCTCTAGCTGGGTAGAGATGAGGGTTATTTAATACTCAAACATCTCTGATTTCCTGTTGTGAGACCTTAAAACCAGACATTTAGGTCTTCCCAGCACCAACGGAGCAGATTTTTCCTGGAGTGGGGGAGGGGAGATTCTAGGTGAATTCTGAGAGTATTAGGGACGTGGAATACACATGCTTTTAACCTCTAACATCTCCATAAGCAGTGGGAATTCATGATTTCAGAAAGGAGCCTCAGTGCGTGCACCCCACCCACTGGTCCCAAGCACCCACTAAGTGATGGGAAAACTCTGTCCCTTTAGGTATGGGGTGTTAGAGCTTTAGGAGTCCGGGGGACCCCCAAGCACCTTTCAGTGTTTACAAGTCCTGGGTGTCCAACCCCTGTCCTGAGGTCCACCTACACCTCCCAACAGCCTCATGACGGCTCCACTCACCTGCAGTGGCCATGGGTCCCTCTGCCTTAATTCCTTTTCCTGCTTGCTTACAGGGGTGGGGGGGTGGGGGGTGTATACCTAATCATAAATGTGGAGAGAAAAGACACTCCCTGCTCCTCTGGGGTGGGGGAGGGTGTGTCTATCCCCCACCCCCACTGTCTTGGACCTGCGAGAATTCCTGGTGCATCTGCCCTTAGCCCCTCCCACCCACTGATGTGAGGGCCCCACACATCCCCAAACCCTCACCTGTGGAAGAACAGCCCAGGGACTACCTAAGGGTCCCCAGGAAGGCATGAAATGAGATTATTCAGAACACAAGGGCCCACTCCCTGAATATTATCTGGGGCCTGCTGGGAAGAAGCACTGTTCAAATATTAGCTACTGCAGTTCTTTGTGGAAGAAAAGAACACAGTCTTTGGGGCGGGCCTGTTGGTAGGCGGGCACATCACCCAGCTCCCCACCCACTCATGGCCCCACAATTGCCCCTGCCTGCTGACCTAGCCAGCGGCCTGTCTTTTCTTTCTCTCTCTGCTTGGTTGTCTGGCCTGCGCTTCCTCGGGGGCTAGTTGTGTAACTCCTATAAAAGCAGCCCTGTCTTGTCTCTGTCCCCTCCCCAGTCTGCCTCTTCGAGTAGAGCATTTGTCTCAGCCTCAGTTTCCTCTTTAGAAAGCCAGGGCCCAGGCCCACTGTGCTGTGGCCCCAGGCCTCACCCTGCAAGCGTTGCACACGTTGGTCTTCTAATCCCCACCAACCCCTCACTAAACATGAAGAGGAGGTGTGTGCTTCAAGGGGGAGGGGACAAGAAGAGGGTCTTTGCTGACCCCTGAAGACAAACTCGAGTCCCCCTGACTGTGCCTGGCACGAAGGCCGGTTTCTAAGGGATTACTATAGTCTGGTGCATGAATTAACATTCTGTATAGGGACCCTAGCAACCTGAGGTCATGGCCTTTACCTGAAACCAGTGACTACCTACAAATCATTCCAGAAAAACCACATAGGTTAGCCTTTAAAAAGCAACAGAACTTGTAGCCACCTCAGTTGGCGGGCGGGGGAGGGGGGTCCTAGTGCTCTCAACACCTCCCCTCAGTCCCTTAGGACTCCTGGAAGGGGTGGGGCTTATCCCGGTCACAGCTGAGGAGCAATGTGTATTAATATAGCAAACCCAAAGTGCCACAGTTCATAAAACCTCACCAACCTGTGACAGACACAGCTATTTGAATAAATAAAGGGGCAGCAAATAGACATCTAGGAACAGAAAGCCCTGGAAACTTTAACAGTTACCACCAGTGCTATCCACTGGTTCTCACTGTGGGGTCCTGATACCTAGGCAAATCTCAAATCCAACCTGTAGTAGCCTGACCCCTAACCCCTGGCCATAGCCTTACACCTAGACCTGACACTAACAGTAACCCTGGCCTTAACCCTAACACTAACCCTAGCTCGCTCTCCTCTCTGCTAATAAGAGTCAAGTGAGCCACCTTCGAAGCATGAAGGTGTGATTAGAATAGCAGGGTGAGCCAGGTGTGACTTCTGGTACAGTTGGTCAAGATCTCGGTGCCAATGTACTAATCTGCCCCCATCGGACGTGTCCTCTGGATGCCTTTGGGAGGTTGTAATTTATTCGGGTGCCTCCAATCTGCATTTCTGACCCTATGACTCCTTGGAGAACAGAATACTATGCTTTTTAGTTGGCGTATCGTGATGAAGGTGACATCCTGGTGGGCAGGATGCAATATGATTTTATTTTTCTTTTCAATCCCACTGTAGTGAGAAGGCCACCAAGGTGCAGGACATCAAAAACAACCTGAAGGAGGCCATTGAAGTACGTGCCTAGCCCCTTGCTCTGCCTTTAAGCACAGTCCCTCTCCCCATGGTGATGACCCCTGACCATTTCGCTAAACTGTTTTCAGACCATTGTGGCCGCCATGAGCAACCTGGTCCCCCCTGTGGAGCTGGCCAACCCTGAGAACCAGTTCAGAGTGGATTACATCCTGAGCGTGATGAACGTTCCTGACTTTGACTTCCCACCTGTAAGCCCCTCCCCACCCTCACTGAACAGTAGCAGGACCCAGTGGGAACGTGGGGATAGCCTTGCACACTGGCCGGATGAGTATCCTTGATGTACGGACTTGAGAAGTCAATTCCACACATATTAATTCAGAACAGATGGGAAATCGTAGGATTAGGAGTTTGTCCAGAATGGAGGAACAAACTTGCAGCCCACCCACCCCACAGACATCACACTTCAATGCTACAATCAGTCCTCACTTTATTGGATTATAAATGTTTATGGGGGAAAGTCCTGAGCTATAACAGGCTTGATTCTTTCCTCATCCATGTTAGGACAGACAAAACTACAGTTAGATTCAGCACACATGTACAAATTGCCCAGTAAATACAGATAAGTGTCCTAAGACACTGGGACACAGGACTCCAGATGGGTGCCTTTTAATGTATACCCAGGTTTTTTAATCCTGGTCCTGCTTGGGACAGATGAAATAGCTTCTCAGTGTTTAAAAAAAAAAAAAATCCACAAAACTCTTAATGCCTCCAGTAGAATCCAAGCGTACATTACAAAATGGACCATTACAGGAAGTAAGATTTTCCTCGGTTCTCCATCTGGGAGCCTGACCCTGCTGACAAGGGTCTGCTGGCTTCCTGAAGAGCTACTTTTAGAGCCTACAGAGCTGTTCCATCTTAGGCACATTCGGTTTGACCCTTTGTGGTAAAGAATAGCCTTAAAAGGGGGCGACAAGAAACGAGACGGGAGGATGGCGGCGTGTTTAAAGCCCGTCTACAGTTACTGTACAACAGTAAGTTAACATTGCCCTCTCATTAGGAGTGAGGAATTTGTGGGAATTTGTCTTTTGGACAATTCTGGTTGCAAATTTAACATTAATATGGGTGAATAAAATTTTTAAACAGCCATTGATTAGAAAAACAAATCAAACTGTAAGCAACATGGATAATTTTTAACTTCCACTGTCCTGAATTCCTAATGAAAGACAACAGCAGCCTAAGTGCATCTGATAACTTTCACACATCCCACTGACATCTGATAATCTGGTTTATGGACAGTATTTCTAGCATTGACCTATGCTTTTTACACAAGATTAGTAGTATATATTCTTCCAAAGAAACCATTCTTTTTTTTAAAAAAAAAAAAAGGCTCACTCAGAACTTGACCCCCCTCCCCAACAAAAATAACAGGAGAACTCACTTAAGACAGTCAGTCACCATTAGAAGAAAACAGAAAAATTAATTACACAGATTTCTGGATATGTTTAACCCGACTGCAAGGTCTGAGTATTGATTCATGCAGGGGGCGCCTCACTTTAGCAAACTCTGGCCCCCCAAGTCCCAGTAGCTCTTAGTTGGGTGCGCGTACATCTTTCTTAAACATTCTTTCTTGGGTTCACTTTCAGGAATTCTACGAGCATGCCAAGGCTCTGTGGGAGGATGAGGGAGTGCGTGCCTGCTACGAGCGCTCGAATGAATACCAGCTGATTGACTGCGCCCAGTAGTAAGTAGCCACTGGTCCCCCTCTCACCCCCGTCCACACAGAAACCTGTAACCCCTCACTGCCCACTCATCCCACCAGCAGTCAGAAAGTTCTAGTCTGATTCATTTGTTTTATAAAGCCCTTAATTGCACTTAACAGTATGCTGACATTGTTTTACATAAACAATTAATACCTGTTAGAGCAAAGCGATAATTACTTGTAATAAAGTGTTCATGTCAAATGAACTCAATAGTAACTCACTAAAGTGACCTCCAAGCACTTACACAACAAGCATTATGAGTTACTTTCCATTTTGCTACAATACATAGACATGTCCTGGTTTAATACACAGAGTTACATGTTCTTAGCCCCTGCCCAGCCCCCACTCCTTCAACAAAGTCCCTGATTTTTCTCAAAAGTTTGTACAAAAAGCTGGAAGCGCTAATTATAGTAACGGAAAACAAATGGAAATCCTGGAATTGTTTGCAATTTGTATTTTGGATCCAAGTCAGGAGTTAAGTACAGGTACAAGATTAGGGGGCCCAGCCAGCCCATGGAGAATTGTGGGGGCCATTTCACTAACCATGACTTAGCCAGTTTCTTTGCTTTGGAGGCAGAGCGTTTTTAAATTGTTTAAGGTGGTGCAACCTTAGTTCTGAAACATCATCTGGAAACACCAGCCCGTGCACAAACAGTGCAGTTTTTAGGAAACTTGAGAGAACTCGAGCCCCACATTGAAGCTGTAAAATGTCTCCCCCCTGCCCTGCACGCAGTTCGGCCTGCCTGTTTCTGGTTTAACTGTCTGTTGGAGGGCAGGCTCTGGCCCGGCCCGTTTCTCAAGCTGCTGGGTTTGTGTTTGCCAGAGTTTGGCTGGCCAGGATCCAGATGTCTTCTCACAAGATTTGGTGCTGAGGATCTATTTATAGAATTGTGGTTCTGTTGCCATGGCAACCTGCTGGAGGCCAGGGTGGCTGGGGAGCTATTTCTGGCCCCATGCTGTAATGCAAGATTGATTGGGCCAGTTAGTGTTATATCCTCTAAGCCAGACTAACTCGGAACTGGTAAAAAGGGAGGGGAAACGAGAAGGAAAAAAACTAACCAGCAGCTTAGGGAAGTTCTTTAAATAGACCTCTCTCCCTTTGTGCTCTCCCTTCTGATGGAGCTCACTTCGAAACAGCCCCCCACAAAGACCCGGCAGAACTCCAAGCATTAACATTAATTTTCCACAAATTATCCCAATCTTAGAAAAGTACATTTTTTAACTGTGTTTCTAGTCAAGGAACACAGGCCAGAAAGGTCTTTTAAAGTAAAAAGTTTGATATCTGGAATGCTTTAATTCCCCAACCTGATAGATACGAAGGGAACATTATGCTTGCTTCCTGTTCAGAGTGGTGGGGACATGAAGGGCCCTTTGTGTCCACAGCTTTTTTTTTGGCTTTGTTCTCATTAATCAGTGAGATTCTTAAAACATTAAAAAAAAAAGGGGGGGGGTGGCAGATTCCGGGTAACCACCGCAATCTCATTTGCCCTTGAGAAAGTCCATGTGGCCTTAAACCGCAGGTCCGCCTCACTTTAAAATGAGCACCAAAGCTCCTCTTAAAACAGCTAAGCCACATAGAAATTTGAAATATTTTTTTATCCTTTTAAAAATCAAAAGCAAGAGTAGAGTCCTGCCACCATCTTGGTCCTGCCCTTTCTGTGGGTGGGACGTCGGCCCTGTTGGGGACGGACTTCTGGCACACACACTGAACCCCATGTCTTTTTCTCCAAGCTTTCTGGACAAGATTGATGTGATCAAGCAGGCCGACTACGTGCCGAGCGACCAGGTATGCCGGATCCTCACAGCCTCTGGCGGGTGCTTGCTCCAGGTTAGGTGACGTCCACTGACCCGTGCTTTGTTTCAGGACCTGCTTCGCTGCCGCGTCCTGACCTCCGGAATCTTTGAGACCAAGTTCCAGGTGGACAAAGTCAACTTCCAGTAAGTGCACGGTGCTCTGCTCACAGCTGTGGGGATTGGAAGGGTGGGCCCGAGGATGACCCCAGCACCATGCTCTTCCAGCATGTTCGATGTGGGCGGCCAGCGCGACGAGCGCCGCAAGTGGATCCAATGCTTCAACGACGTGACTGCCATCATCTTCGTGGTGGCCAGCAGCAGCTACAACATGGTCATCCGGGAGGACAACCAGACCAACCGCCTGCAGGAGGCTCTGAACCTCTTCAAGAGCATCTGGAACAACAGGTACGCGCCCCCCCTTCTGCGCACCCCCCCCCAGCACTGGCAGGTACTCCAGGCCGCTCGCTAAACCCACCTCCCTCTTCCTAGATGGCTGCGCACCATCTCTGTGATTCTCTTCCTCAACAAGCAAGATCTGCTTGCTGAGAAAGTCCTCGCTGGAAAATCAAAGATTGAGGACTACTTTCCAGAGTTCGCTCGCTACACTACTCCTGAGGATGGTATGGAGTGCGTCTGCTCCCAGGGAGTGCTTCGTTTGGATAGTTCTTGTGCAAAGGGTGTGGTTGAGAGCTTATAGGGGAATCCAGGAAATCTGAGCACCCTCATTATCATACGGAGAAATCAAAAACTCTGAGAATTTATGGGGCTCCAATGGTGCTGGCCAACTAACCTTTAATCAGCATCATTAATAACAGTTTTTATTCTTTATAGCGACTCCCGAGCCCGGAGAGGACCCACGAGTGACCCGGGCCAAGTACTTCATCCGTGATGAGTTTCTGGTGAGTGGTTTGTAATTCTTTCTTGTTCCTCACAGGAACAAGTTCTGGGTCAGGGCATTGAACCATCCAGCCCTTCCACCTCAGTTCACTGGTGTCCAGCTTGTCTGGGCTTGGCTTTCCTAGGACGTCAGTGCCTAGCCCGTGCTGGTCCTAGGTGGGGAGTGAAGGGTGTCCTGGGGAGGGTTGCTGACCCAGCCTCGCTTCTGCCCCGCAGAGAATCAGCACAGCTAGCGGAGACGGGCGTCATTACTGTTATCCTCACTTCACCTGCGCCGTGGACACTGAGAACATCCGCCGTGTCTTCAACGACTGCCGTGACATCATCCAGCGCATGCACCTTCGTCAGTACGAGCTGCTCTAAGAAGGGAACACCCAAATTTAATTAAAGCCTTAAGCACAATTAATTAAAAGTGAAACGCAACTTTACAAGCAGTTGATCACCCACCATAGGGCGTGATTAACAACGCAACCTTCCCTCTTCCCGAGTGATTCTGAAAAATCCCCTTTCCCTTCAGCTTGCGTCAATGTTCCAAATTTAGTAAGCTTAAGGCGGCCTACAGACGAGAAAGAAAAAGGCCTCAAAAGTTCCCTCTTCACTTTCAGAAAATAAAAGCAGCAACAAACAGAAATAAATAAATGAAACAAATGAAATAAAAATGAAATAAATATTGTGTTGTGCAGCATTAAAAATCAAAATAAAAATTAAATGTGAGCAGATGGTGGTGCATCAGTGAGTGATATACGCCGAGCCAATTCTCGGTGTCTGTGGGTGGGACTTGGTCCTCGCACTGAGCGCCGAGGGGCCCCAAGTTGAGGGACAGGGATAAGTTGAGTAAAATGTAGCTACGTACTTTGGGGGAGCTCCTGATCCCAGGTACTCCAGGTACCAAGGACTCCACCCCTTTTCCCTCTAGATCACTGATCCCCAAGCAGAGAATGCTCCCTTGGCACACTGCTGCCCTACTCAGAGGCTGCCAGCATGCACCCACTGGGGGGTGGGGGGTTGCCAGTAGTGTCCTACAGATAGGATTTCCTGTGGGTGGGGGAGTGAGGGTTATTCAAGAAATGTTCCAAGCACAACCAAGATAAATGGTGTGGATTAACTATACCTCTAAAAGATAATTCTTTAAATTGATTTAGTTTATACAAAGCTCCTTTGAGACCTAAAAGCCATAAAAGGGGAAGGGATAACTATATACAAAGAAAATGAAGATTACATAAAAATATCATGGGGGAGGGGATGGGTATAATTAACAAGGTTGACTAATAAGTAAAGAGTTCTGAAGAATCAATAAGCAAACCCATGGGAAACATACATGAATGTGCAATTGGGGGTGGGGTAGCTATCAGCACTCACAGAAGGTCCCAATATTAAACATAAGGCCAATTGGATTATGGCTTAGACTGAGGTTCACTGTAACCCTTTCTCCTGGTCTTTGCCCCTCAGCCTCATCCCTCATGTTTGTGGTCATCTGCCTGAAAGGTTTGGGGGCAGGAGGAAGAGTCCAGTGTTGACCCCAGTGTTAACACACTGTGCCTCTGAAATGGCCAAGAGAGATATGAGTTACTGTAATTCTGTGACCAAGGCCCCAGATACACTTCCTGTTCTATTTTTCTAAATCAAATTAATTCCAGCCAAATCAATCATCATCTAGTGTAAGGTTGGTCTCAATTATCAGTGCCGAAGAGGGCCATAAGAGTAGCAACTGACCCATTTCTGCCTCCGTAAGTCTTCCCAGAGCCAGCATAACATCGTGTCCACCTAGTAATTATGTTATGCAGATTTTGCTGCAAAATAAGCTCAGAATCTCTCCCTCCAAATAATCCTGTAATGGAGGCTTGCTATGCAAAGTCAAAAGACATGCCCACAAGTTTCAATAATCCTCCAAAGACCTACCCCAATAAACATAATAAACAGTCCGAAAGCTTGTTATACAAGTGGCCAGAGCAGCCCACAAATTCCCACAGTCCCTCAGATCCCAATCCAATAACTATATGATCCAAATCGGAGGCTTGCTATGCAAATAGCCCAAAGTCGCCCCCACAAATCCCCACCATCCCTCAAAACTTTCCAATAAATAATCCAAGACGGAGGCCTGCTATGCAAATAGCCAAAGAACACCTTCACAGATTTCCACAGTCCTCCAAGGATCCCTCCCAATTAACATAAAAATCATTTAATCCAAGGGGTTGCTTTGCAAATAGCCAGAAGACCAGCCCACAAATTCCCACAATCCCTCAGAACTAGACAATAAATATATTATCCAAGATGGAGGCTTGTTCTGCAAATAGTCAAAAGACACCTCCACAAACAATCCCTAAAAACTATCCAAAATATATCTCATATATATATATATATAATATAAATATGTAACCCAAGGTGGGGGCTTGCTCTCCAATCAGAGGCTACCCTTCCCAAATTCCCTTAATGCTCCAAGACCCCCATAAACACACAAGTGAAACTGGAGGTTTGTTGTACATTAAAATAGCTATGAGAACAGCCCTCAAAATCCCATGATCCCTCAAAACTATCCAATAAAATATATAATCCAAGATGGAGGCTTGCTATGCAAATAGCCAAAAGATACCCCCACAAATTCCCATAATCAATCCTCTAGTCCCCCCCCACCAGTTAACATAATAAATATTCAATTCAAACTCTTGCTATGCAAATATCGAGAAGAAACTCCCACAAATTCCCACAGTCCCTCAATATAATCCACGATGGAGGCTTGCTACTCAAATGACCAGAAGACAACACTCCCAACTCCCACAATCCCTCAAAAGTGTCCAATAAATATACAATCCAAGATGGAGGCTTGCTATGCAAATAGAAGACACCCCTAATTCTCACAAGCCTCCAAAGATGCCCCAATTTAACAAAATAAGCATTCAATCCATAGTTTTGCTATACAAATAGCCAGAAATCCAGCCCACAAATTCCTACAATCCTTCACAGTCCCTAAATAAATGCAGATAACCAAAACCCATTCTCCTGTAATTACAAGTGTACCAAATGCCTGACTGTAAAGCTGAGGTTAAACCTCCAGTGTCTGACTCAAGATGGCTGTCTGTAGTCTCCTCTTACATAGAAATTCTAGAGCCTTCTCTGGGTAATACACAGAGACTGCACAGCATTAACCAAGTATGCTTCAAAATGGAAACACATAAGACCAGGCCACTGGGCTGTTATGTTCAATGATTCCCCGGGACCCCACCTTGCTGGCAGGGGTACCATGGCATCATCTAGGAGATGGGGGGCAGTACAGTGGCAGGTACCTTCTATGTATCAGCACTGTCTAATGAGAGAGACTGGACTGTAGCTGTCACTTTGCCAGAGACCTAGACAGGCCCCAGGGAATATGGACTTCCGGCTGAGAGAAGAAGAACCCACTGCCTGACCACTGCCCTGGAAAATGTTCTCCTGGTATTCCCCCATGACATCAGTTCTCAGTGGTCCAGGACCTGTGACCCTAAGGGGAAACCCTGCAGAGTACCATGGGATTCCATAGTCTGTGGGAGGGCAGACCCCTCTCTCCCAGAGTGGCCTTGCATGTGTCCTCGCCTCCCTGGGCTCTGGCACGTCGGGACCACTCTGCTCCCTCAACTCATTTCCAGATTGCTGCCCCTACCTTAGGAGTCTATTTAGAACATTTTAAATTCTACTTTCTCTTTGGTCCTGGTACCAAACATAACTTTGGTAGGATTATTTTTAAAATATTTTATTTATTATTTTTATTTTGTGTGTATGCGTGTATTGCCTGCACGTCGGTAAGTGCACCCGTGTTGTGCAATGCCCGCAGAGGACAGAAGAGGCTGTCGGATCCCCTGGGACTGGAGTTACAGACAGTTGTTAGCTGCCATGTGGTGCTGGGATTCGAACCCAGGTCTTCTGCAAGAACAGCCATTGTTCTTAACCACTGGGCTAACTCTCCAGCCCCAAGGATTATTTTAGAATATAAATTTTAGAATCTTCAGAACTCAAAAAGGGTAGGGGAGGAGGGGTTTCATTTATAAACTGGTTTTCAAAAAATGTTTAAGCTGAATTTTAAATCTCTAAATGCAAAACAGCGTATTTTCAACTTGTGCCACACTTCAGTAAGGCATGTAGGCCCAGGATGCCATATGATCATTTGCTGACCTTTTGGAGCAGGCAGACGTCACAGTGGAGGTGGGCCTAGAACCAGGCAAGGTTTTCTGCTTCCACTCTTACTTAAAATTGGGCACAGCCATCCTGAAAGAAAAGACCACATCCACTTAGCTCCTCTACGCTAACAGCAATCTTTAGAGCATTGGTTCCTGGGATGGCCGGAGCCATCTTTCCGATTTGTTTCCGCACACAGTGTAGAATCCGTGCCAGGCCTGAGCCTTTTGTTTTTATGGGTTTTCTGTGCTAGCAGGAGAAAGAGATTCTTTTTTTTTTTAATATTTTATTATTTTTATTTTATGTGTATGTGTGTATTGGCTGCATGTAAGTAAGTGCACCCGTGTCGTGCAATGCCCGCGGAGGTCAGAAGAGGCTGTCAGATCCCCTGGAACTGGAGTTAGGGACAGTTGTTAGCTGCCATGTGGGTGTTGGGATTCGAACCCGGGTCTTCTGCAAGAACAACCAGTGTTCTTAACTGCTGAGCCATCTCTCTAGCCCCGAGAGAGAGATTCTTATTTGTCAAATAAATAATCAAAAGCTTGTGACAAGGTCTCTTGAGGCTATAAGCAACAGATGATGGAAATGGGAAGAACTGGGGGAAGAATTGATCGTCTTTAGATGGACTAGCAGGGGAAGGCCTCTGTGTGAGGTCACATTTTTTAACACAAATATGAAAGGTAAAAGGAGTGGGCCGTACCACAGCTGGTGCTAAATCATCATCAATATTGCTGTTATTAATTATTAAAGCATACAATTAACATGCCTCAGTATTTTACCATGGGCCAGGTACTGTCTGAGGACCTAGAGGGCATCTCATTTTCTCTCTCAAAGTCTTGGGAGGATGTTACAACGTAACAGGCCCTATCCTATTATACAAACATGAGCTGGAACTCAAAAAAGATAAATTATATCTACTGTGAATAATGCATGTGAATTATGCTTTTAATGATGCCAGTGCTAAAAGCCATACAACAGGCATTTCTTTGAAGTCACCGTTGCCTTGGTTCCTACTCTGGAGTAGACCTTTGTTTCTCTTGTTCTGTGTTGAAGACTATTCCGTGTTGAAGTGTTCCTACAGTATGAACAACTCCAGATTTGTGGGCATGGTTGTTATCTGTATAGGTTAGGAATGTGTTCAGCCGTAAATAACAGCACTCTGCCTCAGTTTGGCACAGACAAGTCTCTATGTCACTGACCATGAAATTCAGAGGCAGGTGGCACCTAGAGTTCCTTCAGCAACCAAAGCAGGGCCTGCCCTGTCTCTCAACAGCTGCACTGTAGCCTGGAGCTGGAGGAAGAGGAAACAAGAGAGGCCATCCAACTCTCTTTCTGTCCTTCTCAGATGCCTCCCCATCCGTTTTCTGCCATGTGAACCACACATGGACACAGATGGTTGGATGAAGAGGCAGCTAGCTGACACACAGCTTTTCAATAGCACCCTCTCATAGGTACCACACTCATGGATTTGTAATGTCCTG